GTCACATGGCCTCTCCGGCTACACATTGTGCCATGTGGGCCCCTACTGTGCTGTGCGGGACACTCCTTCCAGCCCCTTCCCCCCTCCCATAGCCACACACCAGGTCCCTGGGTTCCCCAACGGTCCCTGGCTGCAGGCTCCTTCAGGGGTGGGCAGGGGGAGAGGAAGCTGGGCAGGGTGTGGGAGCCTGGAGTCCTGGCCAGCAGCAGCAGGGGGGAGTTGCATCTTGGCTTAGAGCCTGGGGACTGCAGTATAACCCCTAAGGCGCCAGATGCAGTCTGCTACTTAGACAGCCCTGTGCTAGGACATGGGCCAGTTTTTATAGCCAGCAATGCACAATAGAAGAGAAAAAGCCTTGAATTTCATTCAGCCACTTTTGACTGCCCACCACCTGCTGACCATGCATCCATTTACACCTGGGGTGACTGCATCCAGCCTTGTTCTGTTACCATGTTTCAGCCGTTAGAGCTGGGGGAAATCCCCCAAATCATTTTCCATGAATATTTACACAGAAATAAAAATCAGGTTTCTTTTGATTTTTATTTATTCCCGCTACAGCTGAGTTTGCACAACAGTTGCTAGGTATGGTCGGACTACAGATTTAGCATACTTTTGCTACTTTTAGTTTGGCTTGCACAAGTAGCTGCAAGAAAAGACTTGGCCACATAGGGCATTTTTACATATGCTTCAGGACGGTGTGGGGGAGGCACTTTAGTCAGAGTGGCTCCGAACTCTGGCACAAACTGTTCCGGAGTTTGTGTTACCTTAACAGCATGTGTAGATGCACCCAGTGTCTTCACTGTTGTTGTTATCGTATTAATTAGATTAAAACAAATGTGGGTATGTCTCTCTGGGATGCGGTCATTTTTCTGTAGAGATGTGCCCTAAGATCTGCTTTCCAGGGACAATTTGGTCATTGAATTTACTCTCAAGAATTTTGTGAAGATGGTGTTTGTGAAGATGCTAATATAGTACATCCGCAGAGAACAAATATAGGCCTTCTAAACCCAAGTATTTATGTTGTAATTTAAATTCTAAGCATTCTGCGCATCTACTCAGGGAACAGAAACAATGCCTTAGTGTCCAATGTGTTCAGACAAAGCACAATTTTCTAATACCAGACACGCTACTAAGTAATCTACAGGCAATTACTTTTGCAGAAATCATTCAGTAAATAATTTAAATTAATGAATACATTTTTAGAAAATCATGAAATGTTTGTGGACACCATGAAGAGACTAATAAATTACATTGATTGCTATGGATTATTTGCTTGTCTTTAATACTTATCTGCATGCGACTAACACTCAACATATATTAATGATAGGGTTAAGAACATAACTTGTGCTGGTTTTTTTAGGTTATCAGAAATTTGTCTTCAAGACATTTGGTACTATGGATATTTGTACACATGCTTGCACCGCAGCTCTGGGCACTTTTAAAAGCACCTGGCACTGCGGTGCATACATTTATATAAACGGCAAAATGCATGTCAGCGTTGAGAAAATGGCAGGAGCGTGCTTTTGAACTAAAATAAATTAAAGGTGTTTTAGTCCAAAAGTGCACTGCTGCCATCTCTGTTTATACAAATGTATGTGATGCAGCACCAGGTGCATCAGGTTGCAGGCTCCGCGGACTTGATTAATTGAGTCTGTTCCAATGCACCGGATCTCCAGCACATTGGAGCAAACAAATGTATATGTATAAATGCCCCATGTGTTTAGCAGTCATGCTGGTTTAAAGTGATCATTATAATTAGATGAAATATGACAAAACAGAAAATTTATGTTTGTAGTGTTATGACTCTCGTAACTTTGCCCTCATATTTTTAAGTAGGATTTAGGTAAGCTCTAATCTGCTTTGTTTTCTTAAAGTATCTATCCCCCTGGCACCTAGCTATATTTAAGGCCCCTGGCTTAAGACGTGATTAACCAGTTAATCTAATCTTAAGTCATGATCCAGCCACACATTCAGTTAATTAATTGTGTGATAAAATGAGGAAGAAGCCACCAAGTTATTCCACCAAAAATGTGGAATAACTTTGGTTCATTTATGTCATGCCACTAACTGTGGCCAGAGACACCCAAGCAGCTGGGAGCTTCTTCAGCTGATTGGGGCTCCCAGCCTGGGGAGCACGTCACATTATGGGAATCCCAGCCTTGGGGTGCCCCATGTGGCCCTGCAGCTGGGAGCCTAGAGCTGATGCAGGCTTCCAGCTGCAAGGCCACCCCAGGCGTCCCTATGGCTGGGAGACCTGTCAGCTGATGTGGGCTCCCAGCCACGGGGGTGCCCCAGGCATCCCCGTTGTTAGGAGGCCATAGCTGGGAACCCATGTCCGCTGACAGGACTCTCTGTGGTGGGGACACCTGGGGCACCCCTATCAACTTGCTATTTACTGATGCAGGAGGAGCCCAGCATTGTGATCCCAGGCTCCCCCTGCACTGGCAGTAAGGCATGATGGGATCTGATGCACAATCCCACAACCATGCCTCCTGCTATTGCCCATGTGGTATGACAAGAAGCACAACTGTGTGGAGCATGCATCAGATCTCAATGTGTTTGTATCTGCATGTCCAGAGGCACCTTAAGCATTTCTAAATTACAAATTACCTAGGGAAATTAATAGGCTGTAACTGAGAATATACCTTGTTGCAATACTAGTTACTTTGTCATTTAACAAGAAAATATATTATTTTACATCAACTGACATCTTCAAAGCAAGTTAAAAAGTGTGTTGGGTTTTTTGTTTTTGTTTTTTTTTTTTACGTTTGATGAGATTGCATACATGAATTATGATAAAAAGTAAAATAGAGTTATGCTCGCTGTGGCTTGGGGAAAAAATGCCAATATGCATTTCTCTTATTTTCTTTTACATAATTGTATTTAATAATGCAAATTCTGTCCTAGCTCATCTGTGTGGGGAAGGATGGAATCACATTGGAGATGCCTGCCTCCGCATAAATTCTAGTCGTGAAAGCTATGACAATGCCAAACTTTATTGTTACAATTTAAGTGGGAATCTTGCCTCATTAACAACATCAAAAGAAGTGGAATTTGTTTTGGATGAAATACAGAAGTATACACTTCAGGTAACCTGAGTAACTTTAATTCATATTCATGTTTTGAAACAAGTGGCATGGAACCTATTTTAATAGCTTGTTTATAGTATCAGTGTTCAACTTGTGGTTCACGGACCAGATCTGGCTTAGGGATGCATGTCATCTGACCTGTGGGGCTCTCCATGGGTCCAGAAACTTGATGCGTGGGAGTGGTGGTAATTCACACTGCCACTACTCCCTCAATGTCAAATTTACAAGCTCTATGAACCAAGTTACATGAGGCTTACATGTAAGGCTAGGAATGCAAGTGCAATCTGGCATGTGCCTGGGGCCAAGACTGCAGCCAGGATCCAATATGGCGTGTGGGGTTGAGGCCACACACCACGCTGGTCCTGCATGCTGGATTTGGTCCTGATTGTTCCTTCACCATTCACCCCCTTTCCCAGACCATTTTTGAATAAGTTAAACAGCGCTTGTCCCAGCACAGATCGCTTGGGGACCCTGATGTTTTTCTCATTTCCTTCCTGAAAACTGACCATTTATACTTACTGTGTTTTCTGTCCTTAAGTGAATTTCTAATCCCCGAGTGGACCTTCTGTGTAGTCCCATGACTAACTAATTTCATTAAGCGCAAGGGAAGAAATGGCTGAGTATGTGAAAGTGGAAGTTAACTTGGGTGACACTTGGGCACATATACACAACATGGTTACTGCACATTAGCCTAATAACACTGTGCAGTAGTGTCACAGCAAAAACCATGCTAATAGCCTACTGTGCAGTGTTATTAGGCTAATGTGCAGTAAGCATCAGTAAATAACCGTGCGCTGGTGCTACTGTGCTTTAGGTATGCACATTTTGTTAGTACTTTATTAAGGAAGCACAGTATTTAAGGTGCATTCATGAACATGTGGACACGTTCAGTGACCATGAAATGATAAGAGTTCAAGATCCTAAAAGGAGGAAGGAAGGAGAGCAGCAGAATAAGGAGAATGGAATTCAGAAAAGCAGACTTTAAGAAACACGTGGCATTGGGGTGTAGAGTCCCCCGGGAAGCAAATCTGAGGGGTAAGGAGACCAGGAGAGCTGGCTGTACTATGAGGAAGCCCCTTTAAGGGTGCAGGAGCGAGTTGTGCTGATGCGATTGGAGAATGGGAAATGCAGCAGTAGACCTCCCTGGTTAGAGAGATGTCTCTTCAATGAGCTGAAACTCAAAAATGAATCCTCCAGGAAGTGGAGACTTGGCTATAGTAGGATGGAGGAGTACCACACTGGCATGCAGGGAGAAAATTAGGGGGGCAGCTACCACATGAATATGATATTTTCAATGTGCCCTGCTGGTATCTCATAGCTACTGAATTAGAAGGCAGCTACCAGTTCAGTTGTCAGCAAAAACAAGGAAGGACCCAAAGAGCTTATAGTCAAATGGGTTAGGGATTACTCAGAGAAGCAGATGCTTTCAAGATAGCAGGGCCAGATGGGATGCAGCCTAGACCGGGTCCACACAAGCAGGGGCATGCCTTTGCAGCAGCACAAATGTGCTGCTACTTTGTGCCTCAGTGCATGTCCCTGCCCGTGTGCTTTACAGTGCGGCACATTGCTTCGGTGCTCCACGTGCTGCAGGGGGTTGGTGGGTGGGGCACAGGGTGCTTCAGCAGGAGCTAGCAATCCCATGCTGAGGCACCCTGTGCCCCAGACAGCTGCTCCCTGCCTGGCTGGGGTGCAGTGTGCCTCAAGATGGGGGGGAGGCAGTCTTGGGCTGGCTGCTCCCC